TTGTGGACTTTTTATTCTGCAATGTTAGATCGACCTCTGGTACTTTTGTGAATGGTTACCAGTAGCAAGGGTAAATTCCATGTAGGAGAAATGGAAAGAAATCCAGAGCCCTTCTGGGGGTCAGTTTCCCGCTTTCACTGCTGGGCCATCCAGCTGTATCTCTGGGAAATCTTTTTGTGAGAAAGGCTTTGTTCATACATGCTTTTTACAAGTAGAGGGTCCTATTGGAAATTCTGTTATAGTGGCACTGCTGTAGAAAGTGTTTCAAAGATTCATAGGTGGAAATGCATTAATGGAGAAGAAATTTCTTTATGGGGAAGAGCAGCACCTGAGCATTGCCTGTGTTGTTGTTCTTTTTTTTTTTGGTACCAGGGATTGAACTCCGAACTTTTCACTTGCTAGGCAGAAGGCAGAACCACTGAGCTATATCCCCGCCCTTGCCTGTGTGTTTTGATGGCAGCTTTAATGCTAGGGCATACAGCGCTGCCTTGCTGTATTAGGGGGTGAGTGTCCACTCCACTTGGAGAGGAGGCTTACAGGGAAGAAGCTGACGGGTTCTTTGTGCTTTGTGATGACAAACTGCCTGCTGTGGCCGGCTGCACTGTGATTTTTACCCTCGAGGGGAGCAAGCTCTTGCTCTGTTTACATAAACCTACTGATTTCCTGAGGATTGAAAAAGCAGAGAGGGCTTTCTTTGCCTTGAGAATTTGCCTTCAAGTTTTGGCTGACTTTCTTTGCCAGCTGAGCGGGTGCTCTGTTGTTTGCAGATGGCACAATAGATTCTTGGGCACAAAAATATGTTGAGGTTGTGAGAAACAGCCAGCAACACTCCTGTTCAATACTGTTGCCCAGATCATGGATTTTATTGCTCCCTGTTCACAAGAAGAGGAGGTCACTTAATAATGTGATCCATTCCTATGCAGAGGTATGGTTGGTAGAGAGCAAATCACAATATAAACTCATGATTCCATTTCCAGACATTGCTAGTGAAGAAAAATTAGTTATCATAAGTTGTTTGGAATAATTGATATTGATGGTGATAGCCTCCATTTTTCTGGCCTTTTTCAGGCGTGCTGATTTTAAGATTAAAAAAATATATATTTGCCCTGCAGCAACTGGTTATTCAACCTGGTAAATATGTGTTTTAATGTGGGTAATTTTGAAAATGTACATTATGTATTTAATAGATTGCATTAGCTTTGCTTAGTTCTTTCAGGACTGCTACCTTTCCCGAAAAGAGAAGGCTCTTTGTATTTAAATACCATGAACAACAAAAGGTGTCTGCAGCGGTTGTGTTGGCCACAGGGATTGTCAGGTCAGGGATCATTGATCAGCTGAACTAAAGCCAGTTTTAAAACCAGCCTTAAACAGTCCACGCAGTCATAAGTTGCATAAAAATCTTGCCAAATCAGTTTGGCTTTAAAAGATTCCTGGGCATACATTCCAAGTAAGATTTTAATATCGCTCTCACCTTATGTTCTTATCCTTCCCTTTCCAAATAAACCATTTTATTTTTATTTCAACTATAAACATTTGTATAAATTATTTTCTTAAATAGCTGCTTGATTAATGAGATGGGGGAAGTACTTCTTATGAGTATTTGACCTTAATTTAAGTTGTTTTGAATAACATTAAGAGTAAAAAATGTAGATTTTTTGTGTGTGTGCATGAGACTTGAATTCTGAACCCCCCCTTTCTTTTTGGTATCAGGGATTGAACTTGGGTCCTTGCGCTTGTGAGGCAGGCAGCGGGACCACTGAGCTAAATCCCCCCCCCCTTTAATAGAAAGTATTCTCTTTTTGTTAGATCACCCTAATTTTTGCAGGACAGTTATAAAGAAAAAACTGACTCTTCAATAATTTTTAATGCTTTTATTTTAAAAGTGAATTAGACAAATCAAGTCAAAACAGTGTATTTCCCCTCATGATAATTTTGACATAACTTGAACAATTATAGTTCATACTATCCTTTATCTTAGCTGTGCTTTGCTACTGTTATGTCAAATAAACTCTACATTTTGTCACTTAATTTTGTAGTACTGTTATCTGACTTTTTCATGTGTTTCAGAGTACTGATAGAGGTTGCTTGACACAACCACTTGTTTTACAGATTATTATTCTAGTGTATTGGGATCTCATCATTTTTGACAGTTTGGGTTGCCATGGTAACTGCTTTAAACAAAAAGCTATTTATCGGAGACTAGTCATTAATAAGTAGCCACTTTCCACACATCAGGTCTGAGAATCTGCTCTCTCACACTGCCTTATCCCTGGTGGCAGCATCCCTCAGCCCAGCTGCCTAGAAAAGCTGAGGCAAACAGACCCTAGAGGTTGTTGTGACATGCTAGCATTTTCCTCTCCTTCCCTTCTCCGCCACACCCTGGAGTATTCACGCTAATTGTTTTCCCTGTCTGTAACTTTGTAGTAGAAAGTAAAGAACATAGCTTCTCTCTCCTTTTTTGGAAAGTCCTTTTAATGTATGAGGTAATAGTTGCTTTCTGTCTTAGAGTTACAAGGGTTTGTAGTAAAAGTGATTCTGATGATTCTAAAAAATTACACAAAGCTTTTGTGTATCTAAAAAGGATCAAAGTTGTACATAGTGTTCACCAAGCATCTGTTACTGAATTCAGCTCTGTCTTATGTCCTTGGTGTGTCCAGGGGATGTAGCCGTGAGTACTGTTCTCTGAGCTCCCAAGATTGACGGTAATGTGGACAATGCAGGCCACCTGACTGCCAAAAGTGAAAAAACAGGGAATGTAAATTGCTAATGTTGTATAAAAAAAGGGAGGTGTTGTCATTTCTTTGCAGAGGAGCCATGAGAATTTATTCCCTCTGCTGCTAAGGTAGAATTAATTCCGAGATTGGTCTGATCAGGAGCTGATGGGATGAAAGAGGACTTGGCAGTGATTGGTAGAAGAACTGGTGCCTCTTTTAGAGAATTCGACCTAGGAAAGGAGTGGCGTGTAGGTTTGGGACCAGATCGTGGCTTGCAGGAACTTTTTTTATTTTTAAATCACTTGAACCCTACGAGAGTGGAAGTCATTAGTCAGGAAATGATCTTTTGTTAAATAATAGGCTGTGATGGTGTTGTGTCATCAAAGAAAACTTCCTATAGGAGGTTATAGACAAGTGCATGTTTGTGTTCTGGTTGAGTGAGATAAATATATAAATGATATCTAGAGATTTGGAATACAAGAAGTGAGTTCAGAAGTGGCTAGAACACAGAAATTAAGACTTTGGGTCACTTCTAAAGCGGAGCTGTAGGGGCCGGGGATTTAGCTCAGTGGTTTCGTCACCTGCTGCTCAAGTGCAAGGACTTGAGTTCGATCCCTAGGTACCAAAAACAAAACTAAAAAACATAAAGTGGAGCTGTAGTTTTTAATCTAGGGTATTTGGCTTGTTCTGTTTTTACTTAAATATCGGATATGGAATATAAAGAAAAGTAGTCGTTTTGGTGGGAAGATCTCTAGCTTGTTGTTTGAGATGACTAGTTGTTAAATGGATGTTACCTGGATGTTGAAGCAGCATTATTCAACATCTAGGACCCTGAAATAACTTAAAAAGCTCAGTTAATAGCTCATTTCTGACTGCTGCCGTGCATAGATTCAGGGATTGAATCTCTATTGAGTCCACATCTAAGTAAGATGCTAGTTGGAGACTTTTGACATTTAGACTTGTCTTTTTTCTTATGTGGTTTTAGCATACAAAGGACCCAGTGTCCTGCAGAGTGTTTCCTGAAGGGTGTGCCATTCAGTGAGGACTTTCTTCATGATCAGTCTTAGTGGGTCTGCTAGTGCTTGTGGTAGGCACTGGTCTGTCCATTGGAGAGATGACTCCAAATCCTTGCTCCTTTCTCTTTCTTGGCTCTTAGCGCATATGATAAATGAGACAGTAGAAGAATTTGCCTGTGTTGTCAGGTATGTGAGTTAGTCTCAGACACATTCTTTCTGAAGAGTCAGGAGAAAGAATAAGATGAAAAACATTTTCAGTGTATTATGTTCACTCTCTCTAGAAGGTTTGGTTGATTGGGGATATCTTTACTTCTCAGTAAATAATATGTAGACATTCCTGTCCTAAGCTTTATAATGATCATCAGTTGTAATACGGAGTTTTACATTTCTATCGACACTGCTTTACTTAAAAAAAAATCATTGCGTAGGGGAAGTGCGCAGTGCAGAACTAGGGATGGAAGCCAGGGCCTCTTACATGCTGGGCAAATTTTCTACCGCTGAGCTATAGCTTCAGCCTGGCGCGCGCCCCGCCCCCCCCTTTATTGGTATCTTAGCATGACATTTAAAAAAAGCAATCTTTTAGACTCCAGCTGTTGAGAACATCAATAATAATTGCCCAGCTATTGCTATATCAAATGTAATTTAAGAAATGTTCTTTCCAGAAGAAAATATAATTTGGTTTATTTCATTCTGTGATTGGCTGCCTTGGTTTTCTTTACAGTTAAAAAATAAAATTGTGTAGGTTGATAAAGAGATTAGTTTTCTTCTTTTTTGGTTTAGGTGAAAAGGTCGTTTTAATAACATAATCAAACCAGTCATCTTTGGATAGTCTGTTTCCTCACAAAATATCAATTAAAAATAAAGTAGCACTTGGCAAAGCCATATCTCTTTGTGAAGACATGAGAGCATCTGCCTGAAAAAGTCATTGCTTATTTTGTCTTGTGTGTAATCTTGAGCAGGTAATTCCTTTTATCTACATTTCTTCATCTGGATGTGGATAGTCCTATGGGACCAGCCTTCCCCTGCAGAGTGGGATGATTCAGACTTAATCAGGTTCTTTAAAATTATCAGAAAACTGCTCAAAAAGAAGCAAATGAGTATTTTCCTTTAATTTCAAGTTATTTGTAGTTTAGTATCTTTGGAAAGATTTTAAAAAATATTGTGAAGGGTATTGGTGTCATTTATTTACTTATGCAGTGGTTTTATGGATTCTGTCTTTGTACCTGTAAAGGTAAATGCCATTGTTTTAAAATTTTTTTTTCTTTTAAAGACTGTGTGTATATCGAGAGTCGGAGGCCAAACACACCGTATTTCATCTGTAGCATTCAAGACTTCAAACTGGTAAGCATTTTTTAATGTGCTGTTCCTTTTGCTCTGTATCTTTTGTTTCAGGTTCAATTGGCTGTCTGTTTTGATTGCTTTTCCATCACTGTTGTTGTGATAACCAGTCTACTTTCAGTGCTGACTGCTTCTTGGCGGTGCACTGAGAGAAGGCCATTGCTGGTTTCATCTTTTCACTTTTGTAACACTCAATGCTATAATGCTTTTATATTGTGAATGGTATTTCTGACGTATCTATTGCTTTAGAAGCTGTTTTGACAATTTCAGATTCCCTTGAGTTTTTGAAGTAGTTTGTTTCTTCTCAGCCATTGTTAAGAGCCTGATGTCAAGTTAGGAATTAACTAGTAGGGGAAATAGTATGAACTAGCCAGTCACTAGTTTCCTGTGGTCTTCTATAATTTTCTTTGATAATTTTGTTGGGTATGGAGTATACCTTGAACCTGTTTTGGGGGTCTCCCAGAGGTAGAATTTGGAAGGAGGCATAGGTATTGTACTTTCTGAAAACTTTAGTGAGTACATCCATGTGGATATTGCCCATTGTGAAATCTCTGGGTCTTTAGACCAGTGGTTCCTACATTTTGGGCCTTGGGTTGCTAGATATCTGTAAACATTTTACACAGGTCTGCAAATAAACATTCTCACTCTTAAGTACATAAGTGTACCTTATAGGTGTCTGTAAAACTATTTTTCACATATTAATATATTTTTTCAAGATTCACTTTTAAGAACAGTACACAGTTAAGAATCACTATTATATATTTTCTTCAACCAACAAATATGTGAAATAATATCAAACTAGTATGATTTGGGAATCTTCTGAAACAATTTGGTCTTAGGATAGGATCCTTGAGATGGTGAATCATTGTCTCTATCTACTCAAGTATAGATAAATTTGAATCTATTAACTTTGTAGAGAATGTGTATCAGTAGCTATGAATGTCCCATTTTCAAAACCCTTTGTAAGTTGACAGTATTTGTGTTCTGGAAAATACTGTATGTGGTATTTCAGTGTAAAGAAAGTAGTGTGGCCTGAGAAGATCTTTAACTCTGCACCTCCTTTGTCTCTTTTTATCATTTTCAGTGGTCCCAACAATCCAGTTGTATATTATGACTTAGCTAGTTAAGAAATTGCTATTTTTCCTTGTTAAAGGGAATCAGCGGTGCCACTTAGTTCTCAGATTGATTTATTCTTGGTGGGCTGCTTATACTGTCCCTAGCTGTTTTGCATAGTAGCCTTGCAGTTTAATCTTGTGAATCTAATGCTTTATGTTCAGTTTTCATTCCAGTATGAATTTTAAACATGTTTAGAGGTCTTTGCTCTTTATGTCTTTCCTTACAAAGATTCTTTTACAGATACTGCACTGACACCTGAGAATATGGGAGGTGGCCTTGTTTCCTGAAACATTTTATTTTGGTTGTGGCTGCTGTTGCTGCTCTTTCCCTGCTTATCTGTGTGTGTGATTTTTCCTAAACCCAGTGCCAATGCACCATGGAAAATATATAGCCGTGAAATAAAATTGCAAAGATTTTTCTTATACCTATTAGATTCTGAGCCCCTTGAACAGGTTTGGGTTTGGTGTTTTTTTTGGGCACATTGGCAGGAGCCTTTATGTTTGAACAGCATTTCTTATGCAATGTTGAGCATACTGTGATGGTTGCTGTTCTGGGCAGAGTTTCCTCCTGAGTTACAGTAATTGCTCAGGGTATTAACAGCAATAAAAGCTGAAGCTTCTGTTGTCAGTATTGGTCTAGTATAGCACATTAAAGCTGTCTGCAGAGGCAAGTGGGAAGGGGAAGCAGGGGGCAGTAGATGCCTTTTCTAAGTCACACTCTGCTACTTAGGTTTTGTCTGAGGCTCTGTACTCAGCCACGTACCTGTAGTTGTTGTGTAAGAATAATGGGGATGATGAAATATTTGCTTCTGGAAAAAAATGTAGTTTTCCCTTCTCTTTGACTCTCTGTGCTTCTTATGAAAAAATAACCAAATACGTGAGAATAATCAAGATTTTTTCCTGTCTAGTTTACCCAAGTGATAAGGGAAAAGATGAGCAGAAGGAAATATGCTTTGTTTTGCCACAAGATTTTAAAAAGAAGAAATTAGAGTTGGTTTTGCCTGCAGCAAGTAATGTGGCAAGTGCAGCAATGAAAAATGGAAAGAAAAACCCAATAGCTTTGAAATGCTGAATAATTACATATCTTATCTTTTTAGCTGTTGTGAAACAAAAATGTTACTTTGGGATTGTAACTGAGAGATATTTCTTTGTTTACACCAGAAATCAAAGTTAACCATTTTTCTATGGTGGATATTAGAGAGCAAGGCATATTTGGGGGCTGTAAAAAGCACTGGGCGATGTGCTTTATGGGACACCACATCATCATAGATGTGATGATTGTAAGGTAAGATGACAGCGTTACAGACAGTAGAGCTAATGAGTGAGAAGTGGGGTGGGGAGACATCTTCCACAAGTCATGGGTGTCACAGTAGCATGATGCCAGCTGACTGAACTCAGAGGCCCCAGGCAACATTTCATGAACTGGCTCCATGGAAGGTGAGAGCCTACATTTTACGTGCAGTCCTGGGGTATCATCCAGGGCCTGCCACTACATTCCCTTAAAGTCTGAGTCCATGGCGTAAAACAGCCACCTCTGTGTCCTGGTTTATGTCTTTGATCCAGCCAGACCGTTCAAACAGTCTCCCCTTCATTTTCAGAAATTTCCCAATTTGGATGCTAGGTCACGTGGTCGTCTTTTCCACAGGAAGGGGATCCGTGGCTCTGTTCTATTAAGGTTGACCCATTCAGAACTCATAAGGCCTCTAGTATCCCACACTGCTAGATTTATTTATAGCACACACTTCCACAAGGGTAGGTAGAGGCTGCCCTAGTGCAGAGTAATTAAGTTCCAAACCAAGCAGAGGTTTTTAAAGGTAACATTTTCAAGGCAGGTGAATTATGTGTTCCATTAGGAAGCTTTCATTCTCTAAGGAAGTATTCATCTGATTGGGCTTACTTCCAAACCCAGAGGTCTGGTTTTGTTTGAGTCCACTGACTGAGTTACCTATGGAGGAAGTAGTCAAAAGCAGGGCTCAAGCTAGTTGCAGAGGTGAGGTGGGAGGTACGTGCTTAAAGAGAAGCAGGAAGAAAGGAGGAATATCAGTTAAGTAAAGCTGCTTGGCACCATAGATTTGTGCACTTATCTCATAATGAGGAAATAGCTGTCAGAATATTTAGGTCTTTAAAACAGTTATAATATGGAATGGCAATCTCTGATTTTTTTCAATCTCTGGCTTGAAAAATTTAATTGAAGCCAATTTTCTTTTTAAGAATTTAGATTTGGAGCTGGCCATAATGGCACAGACCTATAATCTCAGCCCTCTGGGAGGCTGAAACAGAAAGACTTCGAATTCAAACCTAGTGTGGCCAACCTAGTGCCTTAACGAGACCTTGTCTCACGCTAAAAAATGGGCTGGGGACTAGAACTTGTGCAAAGGCCCTGGGTTCACTCCCCAGTTTAACCCCCCCCAAGATTTTAATTTGATAAACTGAGGCAGTTTAGCAGCGGGGCAAAGCTGACAGGATGAATCAAGAATTGCCCTAATGAGGGTAGCAAGATTGGGACAGGCATGAGCAAGTGCACATGGTACATCCCTGAGAGCAGGGGCTGTGAGGAAGTGAGCGGCCCAGCCGTGTCTTCTCTCCACTAGCCCTTGGCTTGTCCTGTAGTTAGTTCTTGCCCAGTAAGGCACCTTCACTTGGGCTTAGATCGAGTGCCTCTCCACTCATTGGCGGCGACAGAGCCCAGCTTAGCATCGCTAACCCTACCTTCACTGCCCTTCTGTAGATTTGCTCAGTCACTGTGATTTAGTTTGTGCTGAGGGTTTTGCTCCTGACTGAGTTGGGGACCATTAAGCAGTATTGAGTCCCAGAATACAGTTAGGAGTGTGGGCCGTGATCATCACTTCCAACTGGCACCTATGGAAAACCTTGCTTTTGTGTTCTTTGTTGAACTCGACTCTGTAAAGGGCACCAAAAAGTGTGAAATGCTGTTCTTTCCTTCAGTGATCTTAAATTCTAACTGAACAATTTGTGGCATTATTAGATGTCAGTCCGTTTTGGAGAACATGCTCAATAGGATTGATGGAAGATAGCCATTCACTTTTCTAAAAGGAAAATTCATCTCTTGCTTTTACCAACATCAGTGAAATTCCTTTTTATAGAAACCCAAGTCTTAAGCATTCTAGAGATAATCTGCTATCTAGACATAATCACGAAGTCTGAGAATACTAACAAAATCACTGAAATTAGTAATTCTGATTCAGTATAACACCAAGGAATTCCTTTTAGAGTAATTTCTACCCAATTCTTTATTCATAGATCAGTAATTCAAGCTATTCCTTTAATAGTCCATGGGATTTATTTTTTCTTTTTCTTTCATGGGAATTCTATGTGGATGCTCCTTGAGTTGCCCTCATTCACACAGTAGGAGGAAGTACGATTTTTGGCTTCCTGGAGTTTTATAGGTATGGCTTTTTCAGCTGTTACTTATAGCAAATAGTCTTCAGGTAGAATATGTAATTATTACAAATACTATTTTAGGCAAATACCATTGATTCATTTTATTAACACGGGGAAAATGGTCTTTAAAATTAAGCCTGGTCTAGAGAACCTCAGAGGACGCGCTGTTGTTAGGGCTGGACTCGTGCTGGCAGTGGACTGTTGGTTGATTGAGGGCATTGTTGGACCCCTCTGGGAAGGAGTGTGCCATTGTACACTTCGTCTTCCAAGCAGTGTGGATTCTCAGTGCTTGTTGTGAATGTGGAGTAGTTCAGAATATTACACTGGTTACCCTGGGAAAGGCACATCTCCATGTCCGCTGTGAATGTGGGGCCAGGTTTATTCATGTTTTAGTGTCACATCCTGCCTGGGTTTCAGTGCCAAGTGTGAGCAGCTGGTGTGTGTGAGAGCACTTGAGATCTCTCTCTGGTCTCTGCTCTGTACCCATAACCTTCCTGCAAAAGCTGACTGTCACCCGTCAGTTTTTACCTATGCGTTTGTTGACAGCACAACAGTAGAGGGCTGCAGAGAAATGATCTTCAGCTTAGGTTTTGCTCAATGGAAATTACTCTCTCTTGCCCAAGTTTACTTTCTCAGACATGAATTAGAAGCAGTAAGAAGTTGTTTTTTCTTGGTCAAAAAGAAAATTTAAGCCAGGCATGAAGGTGCATGCCTGTAATCCCAGCCCTGTGGGAGGTTGAGACAGGAGAATCACATGTTTGAGCCCAGCCTGGGCTACTTAGTAAGAACCTGTCTCAAGAAATTTTTTATTAATAATGACTTAATAGCTTCTCATTTTTTGTTAGAAGCAGACATCAAGTGGAGACTTCATTAACTCTACTTTTGGGTGCATTGTGTGTACACAGTGAATTACCAGATTTATGCATTATTCACCATAGTTGTTTATGTCCAGTTTGGCTGTTGTCACCACACAGCACAGAGCGTATGGACTATGGACATTCTGGGCATTCATTTTAATACTAGGTAAATCTTGAGGTAGAGCCTTTTTCAGTGGAAGGCTTGAGGGAGGAAATCCGCTTTCATTTGAGCATGGTTAATTCGGATTATAAGATAGGTAGCTCTGGGGCTGAGCTGAAATGTGGTAGATAAAGAGGAGTTGAGAGTGTTTTTGATTACAGGTCGACTGGGTTCCCATCCCTGTGTATCAATTGCTATCTTTTCTGTTCTTGGGAAGACAATCCTTTGAACTTTGCTTGATGTACCCGTGAAGTTGGGACATAAAGACCTACCTTGTCGGGAGGTTGTTTTAGATTAAGAGGTCAGACCCACAAAGTGTCTTACCTGGTCCTGCCCTGCAGAATAGCAGCAATCGTGTGTCAAGCTGTAGCAGACACTCTAGGTGTGCTTTGTAAGGACGGTTGCTGTTTCTCCTGTGTGCACTGGTGAGTGCTTTGTGCCTAGCACATTGCTTGCTCATAATGTCCTGAGAAAATATTGAATATTGACAAATTATTTCAGTGGGGAAATTCACTGAATAAGTTATCAAAAAACCTTCAGTTGTTTTCTTAGATAAAATGAATTAAGTACAAATTAATCCTGTATCTATTAGACAAGTCTAAGAAATCTGCTAATTTACCTCTGGTTAAAGGATATAGTGTTTTATGTATTTAAATAATAAGACTGTTCTTCAAAAAATATTTATTTTTAAAAAACAAGGTCTGGGACTGGAGATTTAGCTCAGTGGGTCATGAGTTCAATTGCCAGTACCAAAAAACCCTAAACAAGGTCTGTTACTTTCCTCAGGAGTTTAAATGAATGTAACCAAAGGCAGAGCACTTTTAAGATGTGATTATATTCTGCTTGAATTTTCTATATACTGGTTTTTAGTAAAGATAAAGGCCGTAGTCCGTATATGAAAATCTCAGAAAAGGCTGCCTGTTATGAAAAATGCTTTAGGGAGCCACGATCAGTTTCTGTGTGAAACAGTGACTGTTTTGCTTCTGTTTATGGTGATCCCTCAAGTCAGGCCTACAAAATTGAGTTTCTTTCTGTACTCCTCCTTCTCTTAGCTTCCTGACTTGTGCCCTGTGTAAAGGTCATGACTGCCCAGTCACAGCTTTGTGATTTGGACATAGTGTTAGGTAGTGAAGCAAAAACCTTAAAGTTTATTACTAAATGTTTTTGGTACAGTGTAGAGTGCAGACTTAAGCATTATTTAAAGAACTAGTGGAATGGACAGCTGAGACTATCTTTCAAAACAGACTTGCTCATTTCTGTTAGTTTAGTAGTTCTGTCAGAAATGAGTGTGTCATTATGGTTATATCCTTCCTATACTGTGATTTTCTTTTTTCCTTAAGTTTTAAAATTGACATATAGTAATTGTACATATTTATTGGGGACAGTATACACTGGTTTCTAAGGCAAGGACCAGTTCATGTTACTGAATTGGCATCAGAGTATTTTTCTAGAAGCTGTACCTGTTTTTTTCTTTGTTATGAAAGGCAACCTTGCTTATATCAGTGTTGTATGAAAGTATAGTAGAAGCCAGGCAGAGTGGCACAGGCCTGTAATTCCAGCACTCTGGAAGGCTGTGGCAGAAAATTTGCAAATTTGAGCCCAGGCTTGGCAGCTTAGTGATTTAGTGAGACCTTGTCTCAAACTATAAAATAAAAAAGGGTCAGGGATGTAGCTCAATGTGAAGGCCCTGGGTTCAGTCTCCAGTACTGGTGGGGAAAAAAAGCACAAAAAAGCTTGGTGGTGTACACCTGTAATCCCAGCTACTTGGGGTTCTGAGGCAGGAGGATTGAAAACTTGAGGCCAGCCTAGCTACATAGCGAAATCCTATCTCAAAATAAAAACAAGGTTGGGAATGTAGCCCAGGGGTTTAAAGACCCTGGGGTTGATCCCTAGTGCTAAAAAAAAAAAACAAAGTATGGTAGGATACAGGGCTTAACTCCATATTTTGTGCAAAGACTAAATGTTTTTTGCATATGTAAATTTGAAGTTTGTAATCTTATTTAATCCTTTAAGTGTTACAGGTGGAATTAAATACTTTAGCTAGGAGCTAGGCAGACATGTTGGAGGAGGTAGTTGTTGGGTATCTATTCGCCTCCTCTCCTCAGTTGGAGTGATGGTGGAAGAGTTTTTAAACCACCATGTCTGTTTTGCGTGATGTGGATGGCAGTTTAGAAGTGGATAGAGAGGTACTCAGCCAGGTGGAAATCACAGCGAGGCTTTGGGAATAAATAACCTCAGAGCATCTTCCTGGCTCCATTTCCTCTGCTTCTCGGCAGTCTGTTTTCACCCTTGGCTGTTGGACAGGATGGACCACTAGAATCTGAAGTTTTAATGGTGCACAATTGTGTACTATGAGGTTGGGTAATTCACTTTCTCATAATTTAATTGAATTTTAGGACTCTAAGAAATCATTAAAGTTTTATTTAATATATATTGCCATAAAATATTTATCTAAAAATGTTATTTACCAAGTTTGTTACCTTTATGTGAATTTATTCTGGTTTTTTCTGAAGGAGCTTGAGAAAGTTTGAGACAGTCTGATATTTGCAGAGATCGGTGTAAGAATATTGATGAAGCCCTGTTCAAGCTTGATTCCTTAGAAGTGCAAACTTGTAATTTGTGTGTATAGTTCCCATGCATGTTTATATTAAGAACCAACTCAAAGTAGTCTCATGAAAACAATTAGAATTGTGAGAGAAGACTAGGAAAACTGAAATACCTTCATTGTTTTCTGATTAGTGAGAACAATGATTTTTTTTACAAAGACTCATTTTTAATGGTTAATATGTTTTAATAATTACTTTAACTATTTGCATATGTAAAACAATGCCAGAATATTTAGAAATGCTTTACTAGGTTTTAAAAAAAAATTTAAAACTCTCAGTTTGAATGAATAATGATTTGAAGTTGAATTCTGATTAAGGAATTCATTTCTATTTTGATGGTAATGGTGAAAAATATTGAACATACTGTACATTTGAGTGTAGAGTTGAAGTGAATTTTTTGCTTGGAATTTGCAGTGCGGGGAGGGGAGGAGGGAAGGATGTGGGGAAGGCTGTGACTGCCACCTAAGATACTGTCTATGTTGTTGCTGGATCTGGATCAGGGGCTGACTGGGCGGAAAGTTTACTTTGAGAAGCCAAGGGTGTGTTCTGTGTGGTAATCTTGGGAGAAGGGAAGGTATAGAAAGTGATCACTCATGAGAAAGACATTTCTAATAGTAGCTTCTCTCTTGGTGTTTGTCTTTGGGAAGAGTGTTAAAAAAGGCATAGAAACATAAGTAGTTAATGGATTTTATTATTAAAATTTTGGCTTATAGAAGTTGTTAGAGAGTGTTTTCCAAAGATAATTATAAGATACCTAAATAATGTTTTAATATTGAAAAGTTTGCTTGCTTATAATTTTTAAACAAATTTATGAATAGAAGTTCTTATATATAAGTATTTGGATTTTGTGGATTTTTAAAATTCGTGTAATACCAGATGAAATTAGATTGGTTAAATTAAAAGCTTGTGTGCTCTCTAGGATATTTGAAAAGCTACGTATTCAAACTATTATCTAAGGTCTCTTTTCTGATACAAGGACTGTGCTGGCTTTCAGAAGTTGCTATTCAATCTTTTCGCTTGTTTTAAATGTTTTTTTAAAGAACATGGTACTTAGTAAACTGGTTTTGCTCCCAGAAATAATGACTATTCTGAACTCTATACTCTGTGCCTGTCCATTATCCTCACCTTGTGGGCATTTTGAGAATTTTAAAACTCTTTTGGATGCACACACTCTCTCTTTATAAAAATTTGCTTTTAAGTGTTTGTCTGTTTACCTTGCTTCAGCTTTCCAAAATTAAACTAACAGTTTGAGAAAGTAGCAGGATCTTTCGTTGGCTGCTTGAATGCTTTGACTATTCCCTTATTAAGTGTGTCTTGTGCTTTTAGCATCTCTCATTAGAAATTCTTCTGAAAGCCTAGTTTGTCCACCTGTGGTTTATTTTACTGTTTTGTTTATCTGACATTTTTGTTTTTATTATAAGTGAAGCATGTCACTGTTACTGTGCTTTGGCGCTGTGTCACATCTTAAGGTGGTTATTTTGAGGGGCACACACCATACACCTTATGACAGGACCCACACTAAGATGTGGAGCAGAAAGGTCATAACGTTTGTTCACACTGCCATAAGGAAACAGCTTTGATGTGAAAGCTCAACTCAAGTGGTAGAACAACTTCTCTGAGATTTCAGAGACCATCTGCTGAAGGAGTTTTGCAGATGCCTACTTGTGTGCTGAGTGCCCCTAATAACCAGGGTATGAAGGGGCATTGGGCATGTTAACTTAAAACTGTTTTCTTTTTTAGGTCCACAACTCCCAGGCCTGTTGCAGATCTCCAACTCCTGCTTTGTGTGACCCCCCAGCATGCTCTCTGCCGGTGGCATCACAGCCACCACAACATCTTTCTGAAGCCGGGAGAGGGCCTGTAGGGGTAAGGAGAATCCCGTTTTTAAAAGCTATCAGTATTTTATATCCCATAGGGTATAAAATAGGAATATTGCCTCCCTCCCCAGAGCCCCTTTAAAAATGTGCTGTATTATATGTGTTTTTAAAGGAGTAACAAGTACATGCACAGAGGAAGCAAAATACGGGACTTGCCTTACCCCTCTAGGACAGTTCCAGAAGTTAGTGGGGTTTGGTGGAAGGGTATTTTGGCACCAGCAGAGAGCATGCTGGGCTGCTGCAAGGAGCAGGAGCTGGCAATCAGCAGCGAGTATGGATGTTGGCAACTGAAATGGGGAAAAAAGGGGGTAAGTTTGAGTCCATGTGTGGAATGTGCATTTTCCCAGGCTCTTTGGGCCCCTGGCTCACAAATCAAAACTGTTTAGGGTGCTGTACAGTCAGGGGATGTTTTGTAGAAGGCTGCTGAGAACCTGGGAGGCTCTACTATAATGTCTGGATCTAGAATAAATACATCAAAGTCTCGGGCTGTGGTGCAGCCCTGCCTCTCTTGGGTGTACTCTGGTGATCCTGTGCCTTGGCGATGACAGGGCTGGGTGAGATGCCTTGGGATGCAGTGGCTGTGGTGCTCTGCCCCCAGAACGCAGGCCCAGGTAATGGTCCCCACAAGGGTCCTCCCTGTGCAGGATCGCTTCCCGTTTAGGAAAGATGTGTATGCACTTGACTTCCTTTCCCTTCCTTTAGGAGGACTTACAGCCACTTCTGAAAGACCCATGTTTATGTTCTGAACCCAGTGTCCGAGACTGCTGTTCCCACTAATGAAGTGTAATCTGACTGTGGGACGTACCTTCTTACTGAATTAGCAAATAACATGAGTGAACGCATACACAGTACAGGACAGTGTTGATTCAGGCTGACTGTTCAGTTGCAGTGTGTAACATTCCTATTGTGGCACTAAGAAGAGCGTCCTCCAGATGAGCTGCAGCACTGGGGGGCAGAACCGAGGAGGAGCTGGTGGCGGGCAGAGCGGGGGAGCCTTCCAGGTACACATGACACCCTGCCCCTGTACTGACACAGGCTTGTGCCTGGCCAGTGTGAGGTGGAGAGCAGCTGGCCTGCACGCCACTAGCGAAGGGCACAGGTCAGTGAGTCTCAGGAGGTGGAGCTGGGGTATAGCATGGGCTCAAGTCTTGGTGTTTGAAGGTTAGGCCGGTTAAGGTTTCCTTTCAAGCAAGCTGTCTTGCAAGGGTCTGCTCCTGAAAACCCCCTGGGCAGCAGCGAGCTGCAGGCACGGGGAAGCTGTAATTAGGAGGCAAGGGCTTTCATCCTTTGTCACATGAAGAGGACCAAGCCAGCAGCGATGGGTTGTTGGTAGTAGTAACATGATCAGCAGTGTTGGTTACAACAACAGTGGCATGTTTATATTGTAGCTGTAATTTACTCAAGAATCAAGAGCCCCCCCCCCAATAACCCAACTGGTTCATATTATAGAAGCCTTGGGTTTCTAGAAGTAATAGTTCTGTACAAGTAGCGAGTAGAATTCTCATTCTCATTCCTAGGACATACCAGTATATTGACATCGTAAGGGACAAATTAGTAGAGTCCTGACTGTCTACTTCTAAATCTTCAAGCTGGGCATGGTGACACACACTTGTAATCCCAGCACTTGAGAGGCTGAGGCAGGAGGATCACTGAAAGTTTGAGGCCAGCCTGGGCTACATAGTGAGACCCCATTTAAAAAAATCTTCTCCCTTTATTATTTATTCCTGTGTGTATCTAAGAAATTATTTTTCAGCCTGGTGCTTTCTCAGTTTACTCTCTAATCAGGATGGTGTCAGTGTTAGACTGTTTTATTTACCATAATACCAACTAGGATTTGCTGAATGGATTTAAAATTTTGCCCGTAACACTGAATTTTAGTAAACATTGTATACTAGCATTAGTGACAGCCAGAATTTATGTTTTAGAAGCAATAGTATTCATGTCCACTGAGGATTTAAATAGATTTCGGATTGGTAGAGCACCAATACCATCATATGTAGGTTGTAGAAGATTCTGTAGTAAGATGCTGAATCTTCTTTCAGTCAGGATGCTGCTGCACAGAGCTAACTGTATGGATTGTTCTTTAATGATGCCTCATGCAGCCAAAGTCATTTATGCTGGATCTGAGTCGGATCCAGTTGGCAGAGCTCCCTGCCCCACGTGCGGCGCTCTCATAAATTCCGCAGGCACACAGACCTAATACAGTGTAATGAGAGAGCTGCTGGGAGAAAAAATTGATTACAGGGTTGCAGACAATATCATTAGTGTTTCTTGCCACGATACACCAGATGTCTTCCCTAATAGACTATTTTTGTTAATTTCGTTTTTATAGGATAACATTGATTGCATCATAATTTAACTTTCTTTGGATATTCAGGTATATGTGATCTATATTTCTACACTGATCATGGCATAAACTCACAGATTTAATCTTACACATTTTCACTTACTCATTTTTGTGTCTGTGCTGGACTGGCAGTGGTTTTCCCTATTACTGGGAATTTGTTAGCGTGGATGTTTTCCAGCAGAAAGTGTTGTGTTCACTGGCGGGGGTGGAGGGGATACAGGAGGAGGAAAGAAGGCAGAGGTGCCATGGCCCAGCTCCTCTCCAGGTGATCAGGAACCAGCACCCCACCCCAGCTGATTATGTGGAAACCACACAGCACGTGGCAGAGGGTGGAGGCTAAGCAGTGAAGCTGCTGCCATATAAGGCGGCCTGAAGGGCTCATCTCCCCACTGTCATGGATGTGGCCCCACTGCAGGGCTCACTTCTGTGGCGCTGTCTGCCGTCTCACTAGCAGATCAAGGACTGTTTAGCATCTGTAGCTTTGTAGGGTTTAAATTTCTTAGCTCTGTCTTTTGGTGTGTTTGCACCCTCTGCTGAGTGACTAATACACACGATTAGGATAGTAGTGTGATAGTGGCCTGACCTACTTAGTTTCAGTAATTTTTTTTAAAATTAAGTTTTGGTTTTGGTGCATTTTCCTTCAGGCAACTTTTTTTCTCTTGACATTTTTGTGTCAACACAAGCCTTTTCTAACCCTTTGTTTTCTTACATGTAAGATGGGTATACTGCTACCATCCATCTTGAAGAGTTGTTGCAAAAATCAGTTGAAATAATGCATTAAAACCACACACATTGTTAATGACTGGAACATGTGGTGAGAAATGCTTTCTTAGTTGATTTTGTCATTGTGCAAGTGGTCTTTGGCCGGACTTAAACGGACCTAGATGGGCTGGCCTGCTGCACACCTGGGCTATATGGTATGGATGGCCTGAGGCTCCTGGCTTGGAGCTCTACAACTTGTTACTAGATGAATACGGGAGGCAGTTGTAACATAGTGGTTAGTATTTGTGTATGCAAATATATCTAAACAGAAAAGGTACTGTAGAAATATTGGACGATAAGTACTGTCCAGCTGTGTTGTAGCCTTCATGGGACCATCATGGTATATGTGGCCCAGTGCTGCCTGAAAGGTTTGGGGCATGACTGTACTTAGCATATAGCAAACGGTAAGCATCGCCTCTTATCACATAGGAGTCCTGATTTCTACAGATTCTGGCTTTAAGAAATTGATTAGTTAAGTGATCAAGAGATGGTATGTATACGTGCCCCTTCCCCAAGACAAGTGTAATTATTTTACATCACAAACATACGCTAATAGAAAAGAAATTTAATAACTTTTTAGACAGTTTAAGTCTGATGTCCATAGGCTTTTTACTAGTCTCTGAGTTTAAGAGGGATTGTGAACTTCCTGAAATTGCTTGCACATACATTTTCCTGGAAAGAGGCTCTGCAGTTTCTGACCCAAGATACTAATTAGCAGATTCATATTGAAAGTAATTTAGAAATTTAGGCTAAGAACTCTGTGCAGGGGCTCTGTGGTACGTCCTTTAGAACTTCAAGTCAGCTCCTGCTGGGGAGGGAAGTAAACAAGATATTGCCTGTTTGCTTTGTGCCCAGCACTGTGCCAGTCTCTTCACTTAGTTTAACCCATCTAATCCCCACAACAGCCAGTGATGCTTACTCCATTTTGCAGATTAGAAAACTTTAGGCCCACATTTGGATAAAAGTCTTGCCTTCCGGGAGTGGCATGACCTGGCCTCGCCTGTATCAGTCCTGGTGCCTTCGTGGCTGGTTTCTGTGCTGCAGTAGCCATCTTTGCAGAGGCACCTGCCTTTGCCTTCATTTTCCTAAGGAGAGCCCAGGTTAACCTGTGTCTGTGGTTAGGTCACTTAGAAGAGTAGGTGGCTTCTGCCAAGTACACGGGCTGGCCCTTACCCTAAGTAAGTGTGGTACTGATGTTAGGAATCCACCCTCTGTCCTGTTTTTTGCTGTACAAATGATTGAACCCAGGGCCTCCTCACTGAGCTATGATCCCAGACTTTCTTTTCTTTCTTTGAGGTCCGGGTGCCAGACTTTCTTTTCTTTCTTTGAGGTACGGGCGGAGCGGGCGGGGCAGGGCAGTTTGAACCCCCTGGGGCTTTTGCACTTGAGCTATATTCCCAGCCCTTTAACAGTTTTTTTTTTCCGAGACAGGATCTCTCTGAATTTCCTAGGCTGGGCATCAACTTGTGATCCTCCTGCCCCAGCCTTCCAGAGTGCTGGAATTACAGGTGTGTGCCATCCTGCCCAGCCCTAAGAACCCTTTTTAATTAATTGCTTGCTTGCTTGATTGATTTTTGTGGAGTGGGGATTGACTAACACGAGCTACATCCTCATCCTTTTTAAAATTTTATTTTAAGACACTGTATTACTTGAGTGCCCAGGCTGGCTTCAAATGTCAAACTCTTACCCTAGCCTCCTGAGTACCTGAGAACCTCTTTGAGGTGGCAGCAAATTTTGTTTTCCTATCAGCAGTTGTGGTGGTTATATCTTTTTTCTTTTTTTTTTTTTTGGTACCGGGGATCGAACTCGGGTCCTTGTGCTTGTGAGGCAGGCGGTAGGACCACTGAGCTAAATCCCCGGCCCCTGTGGTGGTTATATCT